CCCTCAGACATTTTACGCGAGAGCCGAATCGAATTATTCCCTAAATTAAAGAACTAAAATGAAATTAAGCATAAAGTAGAGGCTCTAATAATAATCCTAATTTATCTTGACCAATTATTGAGTAGAATAATCAAACTAATCCTTGGGTATTAAGGCGAGGATCAATTTAATAATCTTCTAACTAAGTTAAATTTGAGGGCCTAATTTAAAGAAATAAAGTCTAAAGATTCTATCTAAGTCAAAGAAACTTATTCTAGGATTAAATTAAAAAAATAATGCCAAAATTAAAAGTAAATTAAACAAGTAAAAAGATTATATTACTAATTCTAGAATTATAATCTTGAATTAATAAATATAAATACTAATGCAGGGATTGAAATATAAGGAATTCAAAATTAAATGACAATAAAAAAATGATAGAAACTTAAAGGCAATCACCTAAACTGAGAGAACTACAATAAACATTACGAAAATTAAGTGTTAAAATTTAAATAAAATAATAAATAAATAATAATAATCGAGTTACAAAACATCCAAACGGAGCATTTAATGACTTTAATAATAATAGTAATAATAATAATAATAAGGCATATTAGCTACAAATTCACGACAGTAATACAATTCCCTAAGCAAAACTAAAATTAAAAAAAAAATCTCATGGAAACCTTATTGATTAGGGTTCCAGTGAAATCAAATGGTGCCACCGCGCTTCACATGGCCATTCCCGGGTGGCCCTTCTCCATTTCTAACAATCAAAGGCACAAAGAAGGAAGTCCAAAGCTTCACTTCGCCTTAGACCGCCTTGGAAAAACCAGATAAATTCGGAAAACTCTAAAGCACTCTTAATTTACTTGGGTAAGGGAGGCTAACTTCGAATGGAGCCTTCTATTTTGGTTTTCCTTTTTGCTTTCTTCTTTGTTATTCTCCACTAAAACTCTCTTTTTTTTTGGAAAAAAAAACTGTATTTTAATTTTTAAAAGGAATAGCTTAGCTTTGTATTTCTCTGTGAATCGAAGGGAAAAAATGAACCGAGAGCTTGATTCCTCTCTGGAAAATGTTGGTTGTTTTTATTTCCTTTCTTTGAAAAATTGGAGGAAGTTTTTACATTGCTTGGTATTCTCTTTGTGAATTGAAAAAAATGGGGGAAAAGAAGAGTACCCTTACAATGTTTGTTGTGGGATTTTATATCCGTGTTACGAAACGAAAATCCCCAAAAATTACAGCTCTTTTCTTTTTTACCATTCTTTTTTATTACAAAAAATGTCAAACTGAATAACCAAAATTATTCTCTTCGCATGCATTGTTGGAATTCGGAGCTTGACGTAGAGAATCTTGGAAGCTGCTGGAATATGGCACAGTTGGCAGCGACAGATGGTTAAGGTTTTCCCCAAACTTTTGTAGTGTGGGCTACTGTAGTAGGGCTGATTGACTCTAATGGGGTTAAAATTGTTTTTGGTTAATGGGTTGTAATGGGTTAATGGTTTAATGGGTTTAGTTTGGGTTACGGAAATTTGGGTCTGTAATGGGTATGGTATAATGGGTAAATGTTACCTTGTAAAATGGACACTTTGACTTTAAATTTGGGTCCTTATGTAATGAGTAAATGTGAAGGGGTTTATTTAATGGAACTGTTATGGTTATTTGGTTTTAAAAAAGGTACAAAACTTAGGGTTTGAAGTATTTTGGGTTTCTAATAGCCCCCAAAGATCACGATTAGGCCAAGATGAGTTCATATTCAAATTTCAATGCTCCACAAAATTTCACGAACAATTTTACCGCCAATGCCCTCACTTTCAAGTTGCCTTGGATTGTTATCAATTTGATTTGAATTCCCCATAAAAAATTAGGGTGCGACACTTTCCAGTCTCCTTTCTCAAGCCGTCGTTTATGCAGGAACTATGAACATCGTTAGTTTTTGTCGGCTTGATTGTCATACTCTTTGAAACTATTGGATTATAGGTACTTGTGTCATTTACTTCATTTTCTCTCTTCTTAAACACCTTTTCTCCGACATCTATTCTCCCACTTTTTATCGCAGCTTCAATCAGTTCACCAAAGTTCACCATGTCAGCATAATTTTTTGTTGCACTTCCTAAGATTCGATCTAGAAAGGGTCTTTTAAGAGTCTGAATAAAGAGAATTTTCGTCTTCTTCTCCAATAGATGTGGTTGCACTTGGCTGCTACATCATGCCATCTTTGAGCATACTGACAGAAACTCTCATTAGGCTTCTTCTCCATATTCTATAGAGTTCACCGGTCATGAACCATGTCAGTAACATAACGATATTATTCCAAGAAAGCTTTTAAGAGATCTTTCCATGATTTGATGTTAACCCAACTCAATTGATAATTTCACCTAGCAATTCAGTCACTTAAGTTGTCTTGACAACAATGAATAAGTAGGTTCTCATCTTTTAAGAATGTTGACATTTTTCAACAGTACATGGTAATGTGAAAAGATAGGCAACTAGTTCCGTCGTACATTTTAAACTTCGGGGCCTTCAGTTTTGAAGGTAGAATGAAACTAGAAACTAAACTCAAATCGTTAGAAACTATCCCATACTCATCTGTGACTTCCATGGCCTTTATCTTATCATCAAGCATCTTATAGCGGTCCTCATATTGTTTAGCTATTTCAGCTTTGACTTTCTCGAATTTTAGCGGATTGAAGTCTGGTACACTTTTATCATAATGATATGTTGAATTTCCTTCCAAATCTATTGGATCATTTGGAGATAATCCAGTAGAGTTGAAGTAAACATTCTGTTAGGGTATTACTATTTTGGGTTGAACCTTCGTATTAGATGAAGTACTCCCTTGATCTTCACCATTATACGTCCCTTATTGCGTCTTCTCATTTCCATTATCATGAAATCCCAACAAAACAGAAATTTGACTCACTATTTCTTATTGAGATTGAGCAATTTGATCATTCACGTTCTGCTCAATGTCTCCTAATCAAGTTTCAAGGTCATTTTGCGCCTTCTCGAGATTAGTCAATCTTTCATCCATAGTCTTAGATTTTCTTCAAGTATAATAATGGTATGGGATATTGTGACTAAAATATTTTCCAAAATTTTATTTTTTATTTTTTTGTTGTCCTCCTGATTCCCAAGACTTTTTCTTGACTAATTCGGATTGACTCGGGTCACACACTTGACTTTGTTGGGTAAGTTCCTGAGCCATCAGTATGTCTTTCGAACATGATGATTAAATCCTCTAAATCATCTATAAGACCATCTATAAGACCTTTGAGCATGATGTTTTCATATGATATTTTTGAGAGAAAAAATGAGAAAGTGATTTTTAAAGTTTCTCATTTAATCTTTCAAAAACTTCATTTTAGAAAAGATTAAATGAGAAACTTTGAAAATCACTTTCTCATTTTTTTCCCCAAAATTATCATATGAAAACATCATGCCCGAAGGTCCTATAGATGGCATGTAGGACTTATCATCTTGCTTAAAGACTTATAGATGACCTAGAGGATTTAATCATCATGCTCGAAAGACCTACTGATGGCGCGGAAGACTTACTTAAGCAAGAAATTTTTTAAATTTATTTGAAAACCTCATACTGATTGGGAAATGTTCCCCACTTCAAAGTAATGATTCTTCTATGGATTAGGCTCCTCGATTCTTGATGTTTGACCACTCTGAACGTAATTTCCTCAATTTGAGGTTTAAATTCTGATTTTATCTTTTTTTCCTTTTTTCCTTAGAAGATTTGAAAGAATTATGCATCAATGTATGAAAATATGAATGTTGTTAAATGAATCTAAATGTAATGCATAACTCTCAATGTATACAGAAATGATGATCGTTAATATTCTTTTAGCTCTAAAGTGGATAACTCAATCTTCATTCTCTTGATAACTCTTGAATAAACCCTACCTCGATATCTTTTGTCAGTTCATGCTTACATTTCTAAAGAACGATCTGATTATCTTATGTCTTCACGTCTTTCTTGTCTTCTATCTTTTGGCTTTTTCATTAAAATCTTAGAATAAGTGCTTTAACTTTTGATGAACATTTGATTTGAATTATTATCATATTCAATTATATGGTCGCGACATTTTCCTTATCTTCAAACTTAATTACACTATGAAAGTTGTTTCCTCAAGACTCTACTATCGATTGAATCAAGAATGGTTTTCTCTTCAAGATCAAATCTTCTTGTTTTCATACTTTGCTCTTGACACTCCAAGCGGTGAGGCTCATCTTCAATGTCTTCTTGATATAATCCTTGTTATATTAACATGATATGAGTATTTAGTATTTTGGGTTTCTAATAGACCCCCAAAGATTACGATATTCAAATTTCAATGCTCCACAAAATTTCACGAACAAATTTCCCACCAATGCTCTCACTTTCAAGTTGTCTTGGATTGTTATCAATTTGATTTGAATTCCCCAGAAAAAATTACGGAATGACACTTTCTAGTCTCCCTTATCAAGCCTCTAAAGTCGTTTATGTTGGAACTTTGAACATCGTTAGTTTTTGTCGGCTTGATTCTGATACTCTTTGAAACTATTGGATTATAGGTGCTTGTGTCTTTTACTTCATTTTCTCTCTTCTTAAACACCTTTTCTCCGACATCTATTCTCCGACATTTTATCGCAGCTTCAATCAGTTCACCAGAGTTCACCATGTAAGCATAATTTTTTGTTGCACATCCTAAGATTTGATCTAGATATGGTTCTTTAAGAGTCTGCATAAAGTGAATTATCGTCTCCTTCTCCAATAGATGTGATTGCACTGGGCTGCTAGATCATGCCATATTTGAGCATACTGATAGAACTCTCATTAGGATTCTTCCCCATATTATATAGAGTTCACCAGTCAGGAATCATGTCAGTGACATAACGATAATATTCCAAGAAAGCTTTTCAGAGATCTTTCCATGAATTTATGTTAACTCGACTCAATTGAGTATACCACCTAGCAATTGAGTCACTTAAGTTGTATTGACAACAATGAATGAGTAGTTTCTCATCTTTTAAGAATATGGGCAACTAGTTTCGTCGTACTTTTCAAACTTTGGGGCCTTCAGTTTTAGAGGTAGAACAAGATTAGAAACTAAACTCAAATTGTTAGAATCCATCCCATACTCGTATGTGACTTCCATGACCTTTACCTTATCTTCAAGCATCTTATAGCGGTCGTCATATTGTTTAGTTATTTCAGCTTTGACTTTCTCGAATTTTAGCGCATTGAAGTCTGGTACACTTTTATCATAATGATATGTTGAATTTCCTCCCAAATCTATTGGATCATTTGTAGATAATCCAGTAGAGTTGAAGTAAACTTTCTGTTAGGGTATTACTATTTTGGATTAAACCTTCGTATTAGATGAAGTACTCCCTTGATCTTCAGCATTAGACGTCCCTTATTGCGTCTTCTCATTTCCATTATCAGAAAATCCCAACAAAACAAAAAAATTGACTCACTATTTCTTACTGATATTGAGCAATTTGATCATTCACGTTCTGCTCAATGTCTCCCAATCAAGTTTCAAGGTCATTTTGTGCATTCTCGAGATTAGTCAATATTTCGTCCACATTCTTAGATTTTCTTTAAGTATAATAATGGTGTGGGATATTGTGACTAAAATATTTTTCAAATTTTTTCTTTTTCATTTTTTTGTTGTCCTCCCGATTTCCAAGACTTTGTCTTGACTAATCCGTATCGACTCGGGTCACACACCTAACTTTGGTGGGTAAGTTCCCGTGCCATTAGTAGGTCTTTCGAGTATGATGATTAAATCCTTTAAATCATAAATAATTCTTTAGAGCAAGATGATAAGTCCTTCAAGTCATCTATAAGATATTTGGACATGATGTTTTCATATGATATTTTTGAGAAAAAAAATGAGAAAGCGATTTTCAAAGTTTCTCATTTAATCTTTCAAAAACTTCATTTCGGAAAAGATTAAATGAAAAACTTTGAAAATTATTTTTCTCAGTTTTTTTTTTCAAAAATATCATATGAAAACATCGTGCCCGAAGGCCTTATAGATGGCATGTAGGACTTATCATCTTGCTCAAAAGACTTATAGATGACCTAGAGGATTTAATCATCATGCTCGAAAGACCTACTGATGGCTCGAAAGACTTACTCAAGCAAGAAATTTTTTAAATTCATTTGAAAACCTCATACTGATCAGGAAATGTTCCCCACTTCAAAGTAATGATTCTTCTGTGGATTAGGCTCCTCGATTCTTGAGGTTTGACCACTCTGAACGTAATTTCCTCTATTCTAGATTTAAATTCTGATTTTATTTTTTTTTCCTTCTTTCCTTGGAAGATTTGTAAGAATTATGCATCTATGTATGAAAATATGAATGCAGTTAATGAGTCTAAATGTAATGCGTAACTCTCATTGTATACAGAAATGATGATCATCAATATTCTTTTGGCTCTAAAGTGGATAACTCAATCTTCATTCACCTGATCACTCTTGAATAAACCCTACCTCGATATCTTTTGTCAGTTCATGCTTGCATTTTTGAAGAACGATCTGATTATCTTATGTCATCACGTCTTTCTTGTCTTCTATCTTTTGACTTTTTCATTAAAATCTTAGAATAAGTGCTTTCACTTTTGATGAACATTTGATTTAAATTCTTACCACATTCAATTATATGGTCTCGACATTTTCCTTGTCTTCAAACTTAATTACACTATCAAAGTTGTTTCATCAAGACTCTACTATTGATTGAATCAAGAATCGTTTTGTAACACCCTAAACCGTATTCGACCCGAATACGAATCCGAGGTGTCACATTGACTTTTCAAATCCTTTACTTTTACAAGATACTGAAAAGTTTCAATTTCTCATTTAAAATAAAATTGAATAATTTGTATTAAATAAAAACAAATGGTTTTACAAAACCTATTAGAGCATATCTGATTTTAATCTTTCATTTTCATGCCAACTACTTTAATTAAACAAAATAACATATTATTGTCGGAACCGTCTTTCGGTTGGGCCCAGAATTGGGCTTCGACTTGAATGAATTAATTGGGTTAGAGTCGCCACCGGCCATTTTAAAATGAATTTAGGTGGGTCGGACACCATCTTACATGATCTGCGTTTTACCAGAAACGTAGCGGGTTCGGGAGTCGGTTACGGTCAAGGAAGGATTAGCACCCTTGAACCGCCCTTTCGGTACCAATTAATTTATCGGTTGTCTTAATTGCGAAAATTAAAATTTAAATTGAAATTCGAATAATTATCTTTGATCGATTGAAAATATCCCTAAAAAGTAAAAATGTTAGTTTTGAAATAATAAATATAAATATTAAATAAATTATAGGGAAAATAATAAAAAATGAATAAAGTGGGGGTGACAGTGTTAAGGCCACAAAACATTTGTTGCATGTGACATTTTATATGTTGCTCGGTGAACTTGATGCCAGGAGTTGCTGCAAGCCTCGCAGGATCATGGTCCATGTACTCGAAGACAAGATACAAGCTGCTCAACATCCTTGAAGTGACTATACACAAATGCTTCACAACATTAGGATGGTCAAGCCTCTGTAAAATGATGATTTCCTTAGCCATAAAGCGGACCCTTTTGGGATCCATATTGGAAAATTGAACCTTCTTCATCTTAGCAAATGTCTCATCATTGAGGATTTTATTAGTAGCAGGGGTTAGAGGCATGTGCAGAGAAATAAAGTCTGCGGGTTTAGTGGAGTAGTTCAAGCTTACTCTCCCAGGTATAATATTGAGAAAGTTCATTGCTAAGTTGGTATTTTTCATTAAAAATCTAGACTAAATGACACTTAATCTCGAAACAAGATACTGACAAAAAAAATGAATTTGAAAAGAAGATATCTCTCCAAGTGAAAAGAAATGAGCCCATAGTTATTACATAATGATGATAAACTACTATGTAAATAAACACTCAAAATCGATAAGGCCAGTTGAATCATGCTTGATGACATGTGATATAAAGAATAGACACAAGTCCATAAAATTTCCATCTAGAGATAAATAATGAAAGAATGTTTACCAGTATATCAATGCATCATTCAACTTACTCGAAAAACTTATCATGTGACATTATGCCAATTGAATGAAAAAAGTCTACCACATGCAACTAAAAAAATCTGCTATCATGACTACCATTCACTTCATTGGCTTAGATGGAACCTGTCAACATTCCTTTTAAGGAACCATAAAATTCCAAACCAGACTAAAAGTGCAAATAAAAGTGTATGACATAAAGAGAGAAGTTACATCGGATGACTTGTCTTGAGGTTCATGCCACTCAACATGAGCTCTTGACACGTATGAAAGTTCTGCTGCATTCAAGCTACCATTGTCCGGTGAAGATAAACCTTGTCGTGGAAAAGAAGCACGACGCCAGCCTCGTAGAGAACGCGTGCAAAACTGATGGCCTCATCCAGATTTTTGGTAACGCCCACGCTCTCGCAGGCCTTGAGTAACTCCGAATAGCCGATCACCTCTTTGCCTTCTGTCTCTAGCTTTGTCTTAAGTGATTCCACATTGGCCAGCTTCATCAGCTTCTTCGCCTCTGCCAACGTTACGCTAAATAAGAATGGTGCTTCTAATAGGATCTCGGGACGCGCTAGAGCGGGTGGTCTAATTGTTGAAGTGGATCCACGGGAAGTCATCGATATGTTGCAAGAGGAAGAGACAGAAAACCCCAAATCAAAACTTATTTTAAATGATTGCAAAACTTTTATGAGAGAAAGATTGGGGTGAACGAAATAAAGCATATTCTAAAATATAGAAATGGATGCGCTGATGGTTTGGCCAAACTGGAAATAAATGAAGAAGAGAAGATAGAGAGGGAAGTGGATTCCAAGCGATGAGAGCCCTTCTTTTTTTCTTCTCTCCAATTTCGGATAAGCCAGGTAAATATCCTCCCCCTGATTGCCAATCTAAAGTTGAAATAAATAACTCTGCCTCCTGCTTCCCACTTTCCTTTTTGAGAGAAAAATAAGGAAACATATGTGGGTTTAGTTGAGACGTGTGAGGTGGGGTTGGTTATGAGATAATGGTGGGTTGTTGGATCCTTGTTGGATCTATAAACAAAAAAAATATATATATATATATATATAATATATATATATATATATATATATATTATAATAAATAAATAAATTATAATAATAAAAATAAATATATAAAACCCGGTCAAAAAAGAGTGTCTACAGTTGTCCCTCTTTGCACATTCTTGTGTTAACAAGAATAGGGCAAAGACAAAAAAGACAACCAGTTTTTGTCTGGTCTTCTCAAATATGATTGAGCTTCCTGGAATTGGGCCTTGAATTGGATATCCTTCGTCGTGAAGTTGAAATCCAATGAAAGTTGTGTTGTTTCGAGTCCAATATCCTTCGGCGTGAAGTTGAAATTGGATCTAAAACTGGAAAGTTTATTGACAGACACTCATTCCTTGAGTTGGATATCCTTCGTCGTGAAGTTGAAATCCAAATTTGGAGATGGATGCTTCTTGTGTGCACGATTCCTTTCGTCGTGAAGTTGAAACTGTGGATGACCCCTCTGTCGTGGAGTTGAGACTGGTAATTGGATATCATTCGTCGTGAAGTTGAAATCCAAGTAAGTTGTATTGCTCCGTGTCCAATATCCTCCGCCGTGAAGTTGAAATTGGCTCTGGAACTGGGGAAATTGTTTGTTGACAGTTAGCCGCCCATTCGTTGTGAAGTTGAGCTTGTGTTGTCTTGAGTCCAATATCCTTCGCCGTGAAGTTGAAATTGGCTCTGAAATTGAGACATTGTTTGTTGACAGTCAGCCACCCCTTCGCTGTGAAGTTGAGCTTGTGCTGTCTTGAGTCCAATATCCTTCACTGTGAAGTTGAAATTAGCTCTGAAATTGAGACATTGTTTATTGATAGTCAACCACCCCTTCGCTGTGAAGTTGAGCTTGTGCTGTCTTGAGTCCAATATCATTCGCTGTGAAGTTGAAATTGGCTCTGAAATTGGGAAATTTTTTGTTGACATTCAGCCGCTCCTTTGCTGTGAAGTTGAGCTTGTGCTTTCTTGACTCCAATATCCTTCGTTGTGAAGTTGAAATTGGCTCTGAAATTGGCTCTGAAATTGGGAAATTTTTTGTTGACAGTCAGCCGCCCCTTCGCTGTGAAGTTGAGCTTGTGCTGTCTTGAGTCCAATATCCTTCGTTGTGAAGTTAAAATTGGCTCTGAAATTGGGAAGCCCCTTCGTCATGAAGTTGATCCCTGAATGGCACGATATCCTCCATCGTGGAGTTGAAATCGTGGATGTGTGGGTACGATATCCTCTGTCGTGGAGTTGAAATTGCGGATGACCCCTTCGTCGTGAAGTTGAGCCTTGACTTGAATATCCTTTGTCGTGAAGTTGAAATCCAAGTATTGTATGTTACGGGTGGACACGATTCCCTTCGCCGTGAAGTTGAAACCGTGGATGACCCCTTTATTGTGAAGTTTGGCTTCGAGTTAGATATCCTCCGTCGTGAAGTTGAAATCTACTCTCGAGCAAATTGTATCGTTTCGAGTCCAATCTCTTTCGCTGCGAAGTTGAAATTGATTCTAAAAGCTGTAAAAAATTATGTGTGCTAAAAATGATAAATGTGATGCTCCTAAGTATGTATAAGATGCATGCAACATGAATGAATTATGTTTTATCTCTTGGATTGGAGTCCCGTGTTTTGTTTGCCAATATGATCCATGGAATCGATCGTGCCCCATTTGCTTCTCGAGCTTTGGCTTTACCGACCTTTCATATTTGAGACTGTCCTGTTTGAAAATGTTTTTTTTTTCCTTTTTCTTGTTTTAGGAGGGAAAACAATTTTGTAAAATATTGTTCGCAATTGAATCAAATTGTAAACATGAGTTCAAAGTATATCAAAGGAATCAATAGCTCTTTTTAATGCTTTCAGAGTTATTACTCTTTGACAAATGTTCAAATGGATGAGTCGACTATTAGGTTGACCTAAGGTTTCATCCATAAAAAGATCATTTTATGTTTTTGCAACTTGCTTTTTTTTGGTTTGGCATTTTAATTGGGTGCGAACAAAATGACGCAACTAGCATGATCAATTACTAGACCTTTTTTTTCGGTCCTCTGAAATCTTCCATTTGTTCAAGCCTCGTAAGCTCCTCTAACAAAGGTAGTGCAACAATATCAGTCTAAAAATGAATTTCCTGAGTGCTCATGTGAAGTTGACTATAACAGGTGTTCCTTAACTCCCTTAGTCCATCATTACCAAAAATTTCTTGCTTAAATAAATTTGATTTAATTTGTCGTTATCTAGCTAGTTGAATCCATAAAGCCGGGGCGTTTAACCAATTACTTTAGAGGGACAACTTAACATTATAATCAGTTTTATCAAGTTAACTGAAGGGTTCATCTCATCACAAAGTCTTCGACTGGACAATAGCAGTGGAGCAAACACTGAATTGCCAAGTGTTCGAGCAATGTCATGGTTTGAATGCAATCTATTCATAAAGCCAGGGCTTTCGAGTTTCCTCTGTAACCAATTACCGTAGTGGAATAGCTCAGCTTTACGGATTTAATTTCTTAAGATTGTTAAGAAGAACCTGTTATATTCTAGGTGTTTTTTAAAGTCAATGAATCTCATCTTTAGAGTTCAATTTCCAAACAACTGACCTAAACTGGATTTGCTTACTGGACTATTTCATCTGTAAAGATCATTATCATCACTGAACGTCTTAAATAAAAAGCATAGTAATGTCATATGCAAAAGGATGTCCCATGTTGTTCGCACCATATGAAAGGAAAATGTTATATTGGTTAATTGTAAGAGCAGGGTATGGTGTTTGAGGGTATACTCTAGGTAAGGTCAAAGTCATTGGTTTTATCAGCTTTTAATCGTATTACTTCATCAAAGATCTATAACTCTGAATCATTTGCAGAGTTTTTTAACTCAGTTGATATTCAAAGAATTGCAAGTTTTCAAATGTGATTCATTGCTCGTCATCATTAAAGTAACATAAATTTATTCAAATGTTCTTACAAAAACTTGAGAAAAAATGAAAAACAAACTCAAACAGAATGCCTCAAATGATGAAATGATCTGCCTCACTTGGATGCCCCCGAGTTGTTGAAGTTGATACAATTCTTGTTATGTATTTTCTGTACGATTCTCTTGAATGTGGAGTAGGTCTCGATAGTGCGCCCTGGACACCGCTATGATATTCGCAATGAGCGTTCTCATCATACTACATGGGGTACGGGTCTTCATGAATTTCTATAGATATGGTGACACCACATGTGCGTCAAACAATTATTGGTAAAGGTCCTTATATGTCATAGGATCGAAATGTTCTCATTTTGTATGAGACATATGAATGTAATAAAAAAAAGAAAAGTAATGCGAAATATGCAGGAATGCATGAGCATGCAATGTTCGAGGCATTGATCCAAAAAATGTGTCTGTTATTAGAAATAATCCTTATTGGGGACAAAAGTGTTTTATCTTTTAAGAGACAAAAATATTCTGATAGCTTCTAACATGTTGACTAGTCTTCCGCCTTAGTCCGTCACCAGTTGAATAACCTGTCGAACCGCTCTAGCTTCTCTGGAAGAACTGTGCAAATGACGAGTTGTTTGCCCCAAAAAAAAGTATCGAAGGACTGCACCTCCGGCTTCCACTATCTGCTGATTCTGTTCCTAACG